ATGATTTTAAGAAATAGGATATCCATTATTATAAAAGTAAAGAAAAAATTTGATGATTATATAATCAAATATTCCATTACTATTTATTTATTACATTTATTTTTTTAAATATATCTAAATTAATTTTTTAATGTAATATGTAATAGTTTCACATAGTTTGTGAAATAATCTAAAATTTATTTTACAAAATTCGATTATTGTTAATTGATAAGCTAGAAATACATGGAATATTTCTAATGCATAAAATTCAGTATTTAACCAATTTTATGCAAAATTAATCATTGCAATTGATATTAATAAAATATTAACATTAAGTAAATTAACTTCACTCTGACACCGGCGATGAAATACTAAATACGGAACCTGTTACCGTTATAATTTTGCGTGAAAATTTTTTCACGCAAAATTACACCGGTAACAGGTTCCGTATTTAGTATATTAACATTAGTACAAAAAAGACAAATTAGATTTTTTAAAAATTTAGAGAACAAAATAAGCTGTAAAAGAATGCCTACTGTAGGTAAACATAGATTTATGTAAAACAATTTGCATAAAAATTTTAAACGTATTAAATAAAATCCAAAAAAATTATCATTACAATTACGGTAACTAAGAATCTGGTTTTTTTCAAAAGGTTTTTTTTTTATCTGATATCAAATGAATTGCAGTTTTAAAATAAATTTCAATTGTTTAAAAGCAATTTTAAAGACATAAAAATGTCATAAACATTACTGAAAAAGTATTATTCAGTATTTATGTTGTAATAAAATTATATACAAGAAATGTTGAAAAAGTTTCAGAGAAAACAAAATATGTTAGTAAATAAATTTATTTAATATTTTTTAAAATAATCATCTTGATCATGAAAACAATTTCTCCGATAATTCCTCTAATTCAAGAAACATTTTGAAAAATCTGCTTCTTTCAGGGATTTCATCATCATGTTTAAGTTGTTTTGATTCAAACCATTTTTCTTTTTAAAGATTTTTTATTTTTTTAACTTTGGATAAAGAAAAAACTATTAGGAGCTAAATAAGGGAAATAGTGGTTGAAAGAATAGTAATTTCAACTTTAAACGAAAATTTAAAAAATATTAAATAAAGAATAATTTGATTTAAATTTAATTACTTAGATTTTACAAAACATTTATTTTCAAGATGTACAAAATACTGTAAATGAATATTGAATATTTATAGTTCATTGAACAATATAACCCATTTATTTTAAATTTTATGCTATTTTAATTAAATTTTTGTAATTTAAACTTTAAAAAGTTTATTTAAACTATAATATAAATACACAGAATGATTCATATAACTTGATATGTGTTTTAACATTCTAATATTTAATGATATGACTTCCAAGTAAAATCTGTTAAACATCTTATGTCTAAAAGTTTATTTAACTAAGTTAAAATTTCTAAGAATCATTTGTTGAAATATTTTTCCAACTAGTTAAGTTTACTGTATAGTTTATGTAATCTAAAACAAAGTTCCTTTTGAATATATTAATTTTTTTAACTCAATTTTTTTATACTGAAACTGCTTGCATTGTAACTGATTCAGTATAAACAGCTAGATGCTTTTACTTGAAGCCAATGTAATATGATCACAGAACAAATTCTGCAGATAGAATCTGAAAACAGTCTGTAATTCCAAAAATTATTTTCAAACATTTCATATCTGCTTTCAGACTAAATGGATAGGTAGAAAACAATTGAAAAAATATTTTAGTTTTTTGTTGCTTCTTATCTATTGATTTAGTAGTCTGCAATTTAATTAAATTTTCATTTTTCTTAAAGTTCATTCAAATAAAATACTGTTTTTTTTTCTTAAAAAGCATATTGAATTAAGTTATTTTTATTTTTTAACTCTTTTTTTTTCCACTGTTAGAGGACTTTTTTTCATGTCCATTATGGGGTTTTGCCAGGCTTGGAATAGAAGTGGACAGATGGTAAGGGACAGAGCCTGTGTATCAGGTGGATTGATCCTGACATATCAGGGTCAACCTATTCATTAAAATTTCTGAGTGGATTAGAATTCAAACCGTGGTCCCCAGAACAGCAGTGTGGGGTTTTTTTTTATATCAAATTAAGTTACAGGAACATTATATTTAAAAAAAAAATATGATAGTAGTAGTAGTAGTAATTTGTAATAGGTATCTATACATTTTATGACATTTTTTTCCTAGTGTTATATTTTATTTTTAATAAATAATCTTTGTTCTTAGGAAGTAAAAATTCATGAATTTATAAAAATTTTACATTATTAATAATATAATATTTTATTTTTGTGTGTCCTATCCAAAGAACACAGTACATAACATATCATTGACCCATATACTATCAATGAATGGATTTACAGAAGAGAAAATTAATGAAGGATTTACTACTATGCAATCTTTTAATATGTTGTACTGCATTATACTTGTAAATTTTGAAATCATTAAATAAGTTTTTAGTTCCAGGCCATTTCATTTCATTTTTAGGTTATGATAGAAAAAAAATGAAATAATTAATTATATTTAATTATTTTCATTTAAATTATTTTTTCCTGTATTCTTAATATATATTTCAATATTTCACTGTATAAAATGCAAATAATTTATTTATGAAATAAATTTAGTTTAAGAATTAAACTTCAAGATATTTTATATTGGAGCAAGACACCAACAGTAATTGTATTACTTCTTGACCCATTTTCTTCTATTAATGTGACTGACCTCATCCTTAGTAGAGCCACACCTGTTTGCAGTATGTCAGTTTAAAAAAAAAATTATCTGAAAATTTATGATTTCCTACTTCTATTTTTCCCTATTCCTTAGTCAGGTCAATTTTTATCTGAATCATTATCCAGTAAAAAAATTTAAAATATTTATCAATAAGTTATTAAATATAGCTGGACTTATAGTAATACCTTAAAAATACAATATATATATATATATATATATATTATTATTATTTTTAAATTAAAAAAGTAAAATTTTTATATCCTGTAGCAAAGCTTATCCAAATTAAACTGTTATTGTTTGCATTTTAAAGATATATTATCTTTAAAATGCAAACAATAACGGTTTAATGTATATCTTGCTTAAAGATACGACCGACGCCCTTCAAAACTGTTCTACATCGTTTAGTGTGACTGCATACAGGTTCCGTAAAAGGGTGTGAATGGAAAATAACTGATGCATGATTCATACGGCATGGTTGTTTATAAAGCTTTCATCTGATATGTGGTAGTTGACTTATAAAATCATTTCCGTTAAAATATAAAAGTTTTTTATTTTCATTGAAAACAATTTTTCTCTCTATTGTTCTAAAAGTGAAATTTGTAATGGGAAATATTTAGATTTATCTCTTCTTTTGCTGGATTAAATGAACAGCATGCTTCAGATAATTAGAGAATAATCTGATCCGGTATAGATAATTACAGGAAAGTAGAACAAAAAAGAGAGAGAGAGAGAGCTTTTAGTTTGTTAATTAGAGTAGACTAATTTAACTTTTTGCCCATCATATGAACGCCCGACTGAATAAGAGAAATTTGTTTCCATAAATCGAAATATTGACCAGGTGACAGGATGTAAAGAGGGACGAACATCAATAGAACGGAAGTGATCTGATAACACTCCGGATGTTGAACTGGATCGATAATATGTATTATGTTATGGATATGATATATCTTTTCAAAGGATACGTTTATTTAAAGTTTTATTATTAAAACTTTCCAAAATTTTTATATTTTCTAGTTTTTAGACGAATCTTAGATTATCGATTGAATAAATTTGGGTTTCTCTCAGCGTAATTCTATAAGCGATTGATAGCCTGAGGTTTATTGTAACCTTATAAGATGAAATATAGCTGAAGCAGAAAATTAATTTATAAGTCGATTATCCGAGAACCTTTAAGCTATTTTTATATAAAAATAAGCTGTAATGGAAAACGTGAGTTTCGACTTTTTTAATTAAAAATAAATTGATATTAAAGTTTTAAATAAATGTGATAAATTTCTAAAAATATAGTTTAATTCGAAAATATAGTCATAATAATCTGTCTCGATAAATAACGATGATATATTTTATAATTTAAGATTTATTTTTTATTTATTTGTATATCGAAAATTTCTTAGTAAGTGATAACATCTAGATAAATTAATATACTAGAAGTAGAAATTTAATTTTCAAATTATATTAACGTTTCTAGGTATCTCAATGTAATTCAGGAATATCATGAAACTTTTGGATTAATGTTTCATGAGGATAATGTTACTTAGCAATATTAAATTTGCCAATTAAATCTTAAATTGGAGGCATTTATAAATAAAAGTGATTTTAACGGATTTCTTAAAATGTTCTACTTTATGTTATCGGGTGATGTATCTATAAAATAGTCGAAAATTTAGTAGACATTAAATTACCCACATTTGCTTGTAATTAAATTTTATTAAGCTCGTTAAACTGATAAAGTACAGATGTATTTAATTAATTGTCCTTAATTTTTCGAACTTTTTCTTATTATACATTTTCGAATATCCATCTTTAGCTAAAGACTACCTACGTCTTAACCTTGGACCTGATATATCGCATGACACCTGTTATTACCTCGACATGAATACAATACAAGGAAAAATTATTTAAGTTAGATTTATGTAGTTGTAGCATATAGTATACAATGTAATTTTTTTTCTCTCTCTACGAAATTTTTAAAATTTAGGTTACCTAAAGAAACTCTTACGAAGTAGGACTGCTTTAAGTACAGTAATGTGTTCTCTGTCCGCACAGTACTTCTCAAATCGTTCACCCATTATCTCAGTTTTACTTTTTAAGAACAAATAATTGAAAATTTTTTATAAATTAAACGAAAATAATATTTTCCTTTCTCTCCGAATATTATTAGATAGACGTTTCTATATATATATTTTTTTTTTTATCATGACAGAGACTAAGTTAAAATCTAGTTTTAACGACATTATAATAATATAAAACTGTCATCAATGTAAACTTACTTGTTTGGCAGAAACTGCAATAACTGTAAAAATAAATAGAAATAAAAACACGCCTGAAAAATGAATTTCTTTCATAACTGAGCGCTATATCGATGTTGCCACTAGCCGGATATCAGACTGTCTGCGGTGTGGTAGCTGAAGTTACCCCGAGGCTAAACAGTGTATGGGTTACAGATAGCCACTCGTTACTCCTCCCCCGAGGCTGTCATTCCTGTTTCAGTTAGACAATTTAGGTGGCATTATTGAGAAACTGGAATTCCCCTTTCTTTTGTTTTCATGTACATTAATTGTATACAAAAAAAAAACATATAAAATTAAAAATATATTCTTATTTGATTTATTTAAAACGGAATGCTTTCTCACTTATGTTGCATTTATAAATTGTATTTTTACAAGTTTAAAAGTTGCGTTTTGTAATGGTAATGGCATAGATTACGTTAGCAGCAATCAGTTTTTAAAATATATTTTTCTAAATAATATATATTAATTTAAAAAATTATATATATTATAAAAGTTAGTATTTAGTAATCATTAGGGATATTTTTTACTAAATTAAAGAAAAAAAATTATTTTTGTAATTGTCAATTAGTTTTGAATAAATTTAGTTTCTTTACTAGTTCAAGGAAATTTCCTACTACTATATCAGATTTGTTATTAAAGGAAAAATAAATTGTGCAACTTTTTTATCCGTATTTAATGACTTTAGTGACAAGGGCTTTCTTTTCGTGACAAACTGTAATATATTCCTTCATTCAGCATTTTCAATAGTAAAAAGATACTTCTGTTTTATGCTTATAGTTATTAATAAAGAATGCATTTTAATCGAATGCGGATCCAAGCTTTATGATTTTAAATTGAAAACATATTGAAGGTTTTATACAAAACATATGTTATATATTATTCTCAACTACGAACGGAATAAAAGAGGATAACGTAAGAAAATTTTAATATTAAAAGCATTTTTAGCTTTTAAGATGTATTGAAGTATCATATTTCCAAGATATTGCTTTGAAAATAAATCTAAATAGGGAAATTTTCCTTGTTCTTTAATTTCAAACCTGAACTTTAGCTATTGCAATGAATCATCAGAGAATTTTCCTATAATAAAATAGTCATAACATAGGTAAATTGTAATGTAGTAGTAACTTATACATAGATATATTAATAGAAAAATGTTTTTTAATTAATGAATTACTCTCTTTCTTTTCGTGCATCTTCCTAGATTTATGTAATAAAATAATAGAATATATAACTGTTTAATACTCATTCATATTTAATACATTATAAATTTTTTTATATATTTTTGTAATTTTCGTCCAGCTAAATGGCAGGTTAGTATTTAAATTAATTGAAATTGTTATATTTTAATGTATATTTTGTCATTTTCATAAATGAAGATTAAATATAACGAAAATATATATGAGTCATAATCAAGAAATGTCAAGCATACATTTTAATTAAAAATAAAAGGGTAAATATCCGTATATTATATTTCTGAAAGTGAATATATCCTGATTTCATGGTTTTAAATTAGTTTTCCTTTTAGACTATAAAAGAATAGGAAAGGAAATTTTAAAGCAAAATAATTAATTTCAATTTTAATACAGTAACAGTTATTTGTTGCTAAATGTGTTATCTGTTATTAAAATATTTTAAAATAAGAACGAGTTTTGAATGATAATCATAAATAATGAAAGAAAAATTAATAAATATTTTTTCCTCAGTGATTATTATTTAATAAATTTTAAACAAAATGGTCATTTGTGTGATTTTAAAGAGCGTAATGAACGAAATTATATTTGTTAATATTATAATTAAAATGTTTACATCTACAATCTCGTATAATTTCATAGTCCAAGTAAAGTACTGTACATTATGCTACATACTGTAATTTAAAAAGCAAACGAATGAATGCTAATAGTAGATTATTTCGATCTATTTTTCTTCGAATTTGGATTATGCGAAATTTTATAGTTGTGTGTCCTTAACTCATTGATAATATATGTTAATGTTATATATAATCTTAAGCTCATTCTTTTGTAAATGACTAGATTTTATACGTATAAACCACAGGTAAAATTTAGTTTTATTAGAATCTCTCTCTCTCTCTCTATATATATATATATATATAATGATGTCAGCTTGCATCGATGAAAGTCATATCATGATGATGAATAATCACTGTAATTTTCAAAAGTAAAGATTTAATAATAGAGTATTATTATTCTATAAATAAAGTATTTATGTTGTTGTATTTCTTAATACAATATTTGTTTCTAGCGAATTGTTTCCGTTTTAATTCTTTCGTTACTTTTAATAGAGAAGGTAAATTATCATATGCTGCTTTTTATCTTTCTGATAATATAGTAACTATACGAACTGGTTATGAGTGAAGGAATGTACAAAACTAGTGATATTTAATAGCGATATAGAAGTTATTTAAAAAAAACAGCTAGACACGAAGAAAACCTTGTACATTTAATTCTATTTTAAAAGTATTAAAATGTCAAATTAATTAAAAAGGTATAAAAGAATTTACAAATGATAAAATATGATTTCAAAGGATTACAAAATTTTTTAAACCTTATTCTTCTCTTTCTTTATATTGACATAAATATTTTTAGAATATATGATTGATGAATGTAGCGAATAGATGCTTTATTCTTAATATTCTCGTTAAAGAAAATACTTTAAAATTTTACTTTATTGAAATAATGATTTATCGCCTAATAAATTTTTATATTACGTATTTTAAAACTAAAAAGCTTGTAAGTTATTTTCTAAAAACAAGTTTCATGTTTCTCAAAAATGATACAGTATATTGGTACAATGTAACGTGCTTTTGGAGGCTTGTCTCAATAATCTTCATTTCATTACTAGCTACTTATTATGAATAATACTTTGTGTATACTAAGAATATGCTATAATTAATAAATAATACAATATATATTAATTGGGCTGCAATTTGAAAAAATTGTAGACCTATAGATATAAATTCTCACTGTCGTCCGTACATTTGTCTTTCCTTAATCTCGAGAACAGAATTAGATAGATGAAATCTGAGACCAGATATGAAAATCTTAGGGACAGGCGGTCCCGATTAACTATATACGAACTTCTGATGCAAACTGGAAGTCACGTTATTTCAATTCGAAACTTTTCCCCCCGAAAGCTGTTAATAGATGATCCGCACGATTCTGTTGTTAAAGGAGAAGCGTGATGTACAGGGGCAAGACACTTTAGTACTAATTTGAGGTTGAGAGCATATATTTTAAATTAAATAAATTAAAAATTGCAGCCCAGCATTGTGACGATGTCACAATAAATAATTACTCGTTATAAGAAATATAATATTGAAAACGTCAACATGCTTTCGAAAACATTTTAAATTGGAAATGTTGGATTGCTAAAATAATTTAATTCTAGAAAATACTTATTTAATTTATTATAATGAAGTTGAAAGAAAATAAATAAATGTTGTTATTTATATGATTTTATTGAGATATTTTTAAAAAAGTTATGATGATAAATCATCATTCTTTAAATCAAGATTTTAATAAAAATGAAAAAGTATTCTTATAAGAATACTTTTTTAAATAATTTATTTTTTTTTAATAAATTAAGGGCTGGGACTAAGAAGTCGGAACACGTAGTAATCGATTTTTTTCCCCACCCAATGAGTCTGAGCCCATATATTAATAATGAGGTATTAAAAATACGTATCTAAACAATATAAGTACATGGAGTACAAGGTAACGTGGGAGATTCAAAATAGAACGATTGCATAGATTCACTCTGTTCAACTATAATCTATATTTATTTATTTATGCCATTTGACATGGTGCAGCATATGGCTCTTTTGCCAAAAAACTCGAAGAAATCAACCAACCATAGATTTGCATGCAAAATATGTAATTTCTTTTGGCAGAAATTTCAACTTGCTTTTTATAACTTGAGTTTTATAATTCATTTCTAAAACATGTTCAAAATTTGTTGTTCAAGTCGAGTGCAAGTTTCCACAAATTTCACCTTGCTCTTTATGAGAGAAATTGTATAGATTTGCGTTCAAAATATGTAATTTTCCTGTTTTGGATATCCGGTAACATTTGCTTGCATTTTATCATACATTTGAGTTTAAAAATATATATATAGAAATTTTTAATCAAATTAAATAACTTGGCAAGATTAAATGAATTTTGTTTGGATTCTACGAATTCAAATTAACAAAGATTTAAGAACGTAATTCATAGTTTTAGAAGTACAGATTGTTTATTATATTATAGTTTAAAATAATATTTCTAAATTTATGTATATTATATTTATTTATGCTGAAAATAAAAGTATATTTACATTACATTAAAATTTAAAATATTCAAGATTATAAATTTAGTTTAATGCTTAATCGTGATTTGAACCCAATTTTTAGTTGAATGTATAAATTTGATTATACCCTTGAAAATGTGTTAGCAAACATTTGAAATAGGAAAAATAGTGATTTAATTTAAACAATACAGACATTAAGGAATAAGGAAAATTGTTTAAAATCTGATATCTAAGTATTCAAATGCAAGCTGTATATACATATTAAATTATTTGAATGACTAAGAAGTACTGTAGTAGTAAAAAATTGCTTTAACCTGCAAGTTGAATTTTTAAAAAAATGAACTATGTTTTTGAACTTTATCTGTCCTTTAAATTTCAGTAGCAAAGTAGGAAATATTGAAAATAAAAAAGAAGATATCTTTGTTAAATTTTTTTTAAAAAAAACTTTTATTGTAGCTATAATTTTATATAATAAACTACTATAAAAAGTTGCTTTAATTAAAAATCACAATGGAGTGAATTAATTTCATACCCTATACAATACAATAAATATAGATGATGATTATTTAATTAATGTGATTGTTTTTAATTTAATTGTTAATTAAATTTAATATATGCTTAAAAACAATTTCGGCTGATTGATTACACACCTCATTTGGCCACCGCTTGTTTAAGGCACTAGTTAAGACTGATAACGATTACTTCGGATCAGTCACGTATTGAGGCTGATAGCGCGAAAAGACAGTTTTAACAACACTGCCTGAATAAGGAAGATAGGTTATTCCCATACCTACATTTCGAACATCAGTAAGAAATGTCACTTCAAATCACAGTTTT